CACATGGCAACTTGGTTCGATTACTCCACCCCTCTTGGAGAGCCCGGCAAGCTACCGAGAATATCCAATCCTCACACAAAGCCTGGCAAGCTACCCGTGATGATTTTGGTATGTCAAAAATAGTAACAAGTCTCACAATGGAGACATTACTGGCGCCCGCTTGAGCAAATCAATGGAAAATGGGAGGACAGTGCTACAGTGCTACAGTTGTTGGATTATTTCTTTCTGTTTCACATTTAAGTGGTTTCTAGTTTTTCCTATTTGAATAATAGAATTACAGATGACACGTCTTTAGTCATAGAGTTAGTTTATGCTCTAAAGATGTGGACTATATTTAATAACTGCCTCATATTTTAAGACATTGTAAGATAACATATATAGAGCTTACTGAGAGATGAGACTGCATTTTGCCCCCTTTTTTTCTGTAAATTCATATATGTATGTTGATGTCAGTCCGTTCCATTACATACATTATGTTAATAAAAAAAATTTTATAAGAAGGTTGTAAAACTGTTGTATAGTTCTTCCTTTTGTCAAATGAGTTTTACAAAAAACAGTCATGGAAATTGGGGTTGTCTGCTAAAAGCAGTTCTGAGATTTCATTTTGCGTGAGACTTACAAATCTATAGACATGCTTGAACAGTGAAATAAAGGAAAAGAGTTCTGGGTAGATCCTGACTTTAGTGTTTGTTTGGTCAGTGTGTGTGTGGGGAGGTGGGATTTGGTTGGTTTGTTGTTTGGTGGTAATGGAGTTGGTGTTGAGTTTCTGGTTTATACCTGAGTGTCAGTGCTAAGGAGATCAGGTGTTGCTAAGAATTGAATATGGTTCTTCTGCATGGAAAGTGTGGGGCTCCAAGCTGGTAAGCTATTTTCTTGGTCCCTGACTCTAACCTGAACTTGGGCATGGCATAGAAATAGGTATAAAAATCATTACCTGGGGACTGAAGAGATAGCACAGCGGGTAGGGCATTTGCCTTGCACACGGCTGACCCAGGTTCAATTTCCAGCATCCCCTAGGTCCCCTGAGCACAGCCAGGAGTAACTCCTGAGTGCAGAGCCAGGATTATCCCCCGTGTATCGCCAGGTATGACCCAAAAAGAAAAGAAAATCATTACCTGGCTTACACTTAGAGAAGTCTGAAGCTAAATCCAATAAAGCAGAGCAGAGCAGAGCAGAGAGGAGTTGGAGATAGATGGGTTGGGAGAGTGGACTTTGTGCTTTTAGAGTTTGGTGAGGGCATGGGGGATACTGATTTTCTTCTCCCATTCTATGGGCTGAAGAAACAATGGCAGGTAGCTGGATTAGAGCTCTTTTTAAAAAAGAAAGTACAGGGCTGGAACGATAGCACAGCTGGTAGGGTGTTTGCCTTGCACAGTACCGACCCGGATTCAATTCCCAGCATCCCTTATGGTTCCCCGAGCACTGCCAGGAGTAATTTCTGAGTGCAGAGCCAGGAGTAACCCCTGAGTATTGCTGGGTGTGACCCCCCCAAATAAGCTCTTTGGGGGTGCTGGAGCTATAGTACAGCAAGTAGGGTTTTTGCCTTGTATGGGGTCTGCCTGGGTTCAATCCTGAGCATTCCATATGTCCCCTGTGCATGTCCAAGTAATCACGCACTGCCGGTAGTAATTCCTGAGTGCAGAGCCTGGAGTAAACGTGAGCATAGTTGGGTGTGACCTAAAAAAAGCCAAAAAAAGGAAGCTGGTTTAAAAAAAATTATAGCCAAGGTAAGTAACATGGTTGCAATAGTGTTAAATTTTATGGTATTGATGTACAAAGTTCTTGTACTCCATTACCACCAAAGTGCCCATGACCTTTTCAGCCCCTGTGCATTAGAGCTATGAGACTTGCCTGAGAAAACCTCCTGCTTCCATTTTTGCCTTAAAACTAAGGTGAATTTCTGGTACTTTAGCATCACCCATGTTAAGAAGGGATAACAGATACTTGTAAATTGTTTCAAAAGAGAGTCAAAAGTGAGTATTAGTGTAGCATTTTTCACACTAGGATTGCTACAAAGTATTCATATAGACCTTGTGCTTTCCCTCTCATTACTCCTTTTTCTGTTTCATTTATTTTATTTTCAAGGAACAGACTAGAAGCAGATTAGTGAAATGAGGAAAGTGAAGAGCAAGATAGACATATATAAAAGAACAGATGTTACTTTCTACTTTAGATTTGGGGTTTTCATTTTAGGTCTGAGTTAGGGAATTACAGTGAAACTCATGTTTTCATTTTGGTTAACAGAACTTTCTGATATTTGAAAATTAAGCTAGAAAGTTGTCAGAAAAGTCATAAAATCTGGTGATATAATCCAAGAGCAGATAAAAGACCCAGCATTGCTTAGTTTGTAGAAAGATATAATACTTTATGATTATACCCTATGGAGTTTATTTTATTACACTTGCTGTTATTTATAACTGGATAGGGAACATTTGTAAAAACATTTTATATACATTTCTCTTTAATTTTTGTCATAGTTTCCCAGAAATGGGTCAGAGAATAAGAACATTGTAAAAACAGTAGCTATTGCCAAATTGTTTTCAGAATTATTGTATCTCAAATACATGTTAATTATAGAAGATCATTTGTCTCATTTTACCTTTTTGAGTGTGATTGTTACATATATTTGAAAAATATTTAACTTGCAAAAATTTAAGCTCTTTAATTTTGGAACCCTCTCAAGCAATCCTCACAGAACCTGGAGCCATTCCTGGAAATGTTTTGGTGATGCTCAGTCCAGCCATGGCGGCCAGATGGTTCAGTACTGAGGTTGATAATGCAGTGCTACATGGACCCAGTGGTGCTGGGGTCTTGAACAGTGCTCAGAGAGCTGTAAGCAGTTAGGGATAGAATTTGGTGTCTGTGCATGATATTTTACCAGCTCCTGGTGTTTTTATTTTTTAATTATTTTTTTCATTTACTACTATGATTCTATTAATAAACATTTTTAGCGATAAATATTTGTATATCTTCATTTTAACAATCTTTTGAGATTAATACTGATCTCACATTCATTATATAAGTGAGAAAACAAATTAGAGTGTCAGTGTGTCAACCTAAATGTGCTTTTACACTTACTGATTCCTATACTGTGGGATATAGTGGACTTGGAATAGTTATTTCCACTCAGAGATAATGAGTTATTTTTTATAATTTATCATGTTATATTGGGGCCTCAAGAGATAGTACAGTGGGTAGCGTCTTGACTTACACATGGCCTACCGGGTTTGATCTTTGGCATCCCATATGGTCCCCTGAGGCCTTTCAGGAGTAATTACTGAGTGAGAATAGGAGCAACCCCTGAACATTGCTGGCTGTGGTACCCCCCCCCCCACCAAAAACTCATTTTATATTTATTATCTTACTGGAGTTTATAACTTAATATTGTTCGTAGGTACAGAGGTTTGTGTTTCTGCTTTATAGTTGAAGAAATTGAGAAACTTGTGTCTGGCAATAAATAGTAGAGCCAACTTTAAAAGGTTTCTGGGTCAGAGCCTTGTGTACTTTTTGTTGACCTACAGAGATTCTGTAGAACTGGGGCAGATGATGTTAGGCAGTGAGCAGCATACAGTGTGTAACTACCATTACTTTGTTTTTTGATCTTAGAAACAATCATTTTTTTACTATTACATCTTTTAGTTGTTCACATTCCTTTTTTGGAGGGGTTGTGATTACCAGAGATAACACATTTTGGTTGAAGTGCGTGCATACCTGATTGTGAGGCTCTCTAAAGAGTTCCCCACTTGATTGTGGCACTCTCATATTTAGTTTTATCACTTTCCACAGGTCTCACTTGTGGTTGTGGTGTCTGCTCAGTTTGTGTAGTTGCTTGATGGAGGATCACTTTCTTTATTTTTAAATTTTTTTTTAATTGAATCAGCATGAGCTACAGTTAACAAAACTTTCATGTTTGAGTTTCGGTCATACAACGATTGAACACTTGTCCCTCCACCAGTGTACATTTTCCATCACCAATTTCTCCAGTATCCCTCCCCACTCCACCCCACCCCTTCCCCTGCCTTTATGGCAGACAAATTCCCTCTTACTCTCTATTTATGGGTATTCTGGTTTGCAACACAGACAGGAGTATCACTTTCTTTAGATGTAGAACTTGTGTACATCTTGGTTTTACTGCTCAGCAGGTATCCACACACTTGGTTGTGATTCTTGTATTCTTCCGAGGTTCTTGGATGAGTTTGACCTGCAGCCACCTTTTCAGAAAATATTACTTAGGGCTCACCCCACTTCCTCTACCCCCAGTCTCTCTTCTTTAAGTGAACAAACAGAAAGTAACACCTGATTGCACCCAAGGTTACTGCTACCTGCTTTGAGTGCTCATGGGGTGGCTGAGAAACACTAGTTGTAATGCTTACTGGGAGTTGCATTGTACACATAAATCCCTGTGCTCACACACTTTTGTCTGCCATTGCTTAAAATATACATTGAGTTTTTATTTTCTTTCTTCCCTCCTTCTCCTGCTTCTCACCTTCTCACTTTGCCTCCTTCTATCTTTTTCCCTCTTGTGCCCTTTTTCTTTCTCTATTGCTCTCTCTCTCTCTCTCTCTCTCTCTCCACTACGCCACCCCACCTTTAATTCTTCCTTCTTTCCAACTCCCCAATCTCAGTGCCTGAAATGAAACTCAGGGCCAGAGAGAATACAAAGTTTAAGGCATTTGCCTTGCATGCAACTGACCTCCCTTGTCCTGCTTTAATTTCAGACCACATATGTTCCCCCCCAAACACCAGGAGTGATCCTTGAGCAGAGAACCAGAAGTAACCCCCGAGCAAAGCCAGGTGTAGTCCAGAAATCCAGTCCCCCCTCCCAAAGAAAATGTTAGTGAAGACAATCAGTAGTTTATTATTGAGTTTACATGTAATAGTTTTCAATCTTTTTGTGTGTATAGATTCTGCATCTGAATGGATTTATTGAATGTATTTGTAGATTATGTGCCTGGAATATGTTGTCTTTGAAGTAATGATTTCAAAAAACATTTTTCTAGTCAACAGATAAGCAGAGAGCCCTTGAAGAAACCAAAGCCTACACCACCCAGTCCTTAGCAAGTGTTGCCTACCTGATAAACACTTTGGCCAACAATGTTCTGCAAATGCTGGATATCCAGGCATCACAGCTTCGGAGGATGGAATCTTCAATCAATCATATTTCACAAGTGAGAATACACTTTTCAAATTTTGCTGGAATGCTGGCAGCTTTTACTGTATGAGTTAACTACATGCATGGTTTGGGAAAAATAAATTGGTAATGTTATGTTTTTTCTTTTTTGTTGAGTTATCTGTGATTTTGCTAAAATTCATTGAGTTTTACTAAAATTCAGCCACCATGTTAAAATAACCAACCTTGAGAAGTTGTTCAGCTTCTTATACTAAAGTTTATCCTCTTTATCTTCTTAAAATTATAAATGTGATAGCTAGATGGTTTGTTCACCTTTTTTCCCTGTTGGACTTTGTTTACCATGATGGTGTTATACCTCAGTATTTTAGCAATCTAAGTATCTTAAGAAATTTTTTTATAGAACTTTTCCCATTCTAGAAGCAATGCATATAAATAGATAAGAGAAAAAATGTAAAAATAAAACATTGAGCTTGTCACTATATTTATATTTTAATATATTTCCTTCTGATACTTTAAAAAAAAGGACTGGGGTGATAACACAGTGGGTAGGACGTTTGCCTTGCATGTGACCAACCCGGGTTCGATTCTTCCGTTCCTCTCGGAGAGCCAGGCAAGCTACCAAGAGTATCCTGTCCGCACAGCAGAGCCCGGCAAGCTTCCCATGGTGTATTTCATATGCCAAAAACAGTAACAACGAGTCTCACAATGGAGACGTTACTGGTGCCCGCTAGAGCAAATCAATGAACAAGAGGAAGACAGTGCTACAGTGACAGTGCTACTTAAAAAAATAGATTTAGGAGGGGGGTTCGGGCCATGCCCGCTGTGCCAGAGCTTACTCTTGACTCTGTTCCCAGAGATCATTTCTGGTGCTCAGGCAACTATATAAGATGCTGGGGATCAAATCGGTGAGACAAGTGCCTTTCCTCTGAACTATCTCTTGAGCCTTTAGAATAGATTTTAAGTATATATGTGATTATTTCATATACAGAATTTTGGATTCTGCTATTTTAATTTATTTTATAAACATCTTTCCATGTATTTTGAGCTTTCATAAATATTTTCAATGGCTGCAGAGTTGCATGCTTATGTTAGTTTTCATAACTCACTTTATATATGAGGACCATTTAAAAACTACTGCAATAAAAATTAATTTTGAATTATAAAATACATTTTAAAAACACTTAAAATATAAAGGTTTTGAACTACTTTTTTGGTTCTTTTTTCGGTTTGTTTTGGGGCCACACCCAGTGGTACTCAGTATTTGCTCCTGTGGAGCTCTATGCTCTGACGTCACTCCTGGTGACCTTAGTGGACCATTTGTGGTGCCACAAATTGAACTCAGGTCAGCCTCATGCAGGGCAAGTGCCCTACCTACTATATTATCTCTCTAGTCCCTATAATTTTAATTCCTTTTAAAAAGTCAGTGACGTCAAATGCCTGTACTCATGTAACCTAGAGACATTAATTTTATAGGATTTAGAATTAATTTATATTTAATTGTGAATAAAACAAGAACAAGCTCATAAGTCCTTTAGATCAGTGTATTTTTTAACCTCTTTCTGACTGTGGCTTCTTTCCAATCTTGATTTTTTTCTTGTAGCCCTTTTGTTTAGTGCCTTAATCTCTTGCCATGGCCCTTAATTTAACATGATTTTCAACTGTGACTCCTTGTGATATCCTAGTGCTGTAAGGGCGAGGGGTGTAGAATGCTTTTTGAGAAATGCTCCTTTAGATCTATGATTTTCTAGTAGGTAATACTATCCCTGGGTGGGGAGTGGACATGCTGAAATGATGTAAAGGGACAGTAGTAGAAGGCTCAGATCAATTGGAAGAATACTTCTTTTTTGTTTTAAGAAGGTAGTTGCCGATTTATTTATTTATGTATGTATATTTATTTAATGTATATTTATTTATTTATTTATGTATGTATGTATATATGTATGTATGTCTCTGAAGGTGGTAGTAGGTATGTTTAGGCAGTTTCGGCCTTAAGGGGATCATCGGCAGTATCAGACGTTTTTGTGTGTTACAACTTGGGGTGGGGGATGTGATGCAGGTATCTACTAAGATACCTTTACATGCTACGGTACTTAGGATAGTCTCTCCCAACAAAGAATTATCTACTAGATTAGCACTAATGTCACTGTAAGATAAAGTGTCCTTTTAGCAATTAGAAACATATAGTGAAGTTAATTTATTTTCATTCTTCATAGGCTTAGGCTTTTAAGAATTGTTTTAATACTGAAAATTAATAGAAATAACAAAGAGCACTTTTAGCCTAATAATTTCTTTCACTTTTATCTTTATAACTTCTGTAACCAAATACTTTTAGACTTTAATGCTGGGAAATTGTCACTTTCCTAATGAAGAGATGTAATTTCCTTGTAGATCATGTTTCTATTTTGCCTCCTTTCCAGAAAGTTAGGAGCCCAATATGACACCCCTTTTTCCTTTTTTTTTTTTGTTTATTTATTTTTGGCCACACCAGAGGTGCTCAGAGCTTGCTCATGACTCTGCTCTCAAAGATTTCTCCTAGTGATGTTCGAGGGACATCCAAAATAATGTAATGCTGGGAATCAAACCCGCATGGGCTATGTGCTAGGCAAGCCTGCTCTACTCTCACTCTGGCCCCTTGATGGCTTTTTATAGCAACTGTTAGTTAAAATAATTCCCTACCTAATTTATAGTTCTATAATTTCTTATTTTCTGTTTGGTTTTTAATTCTTAAACAAGAATAGCAGACACAGACATATATATGCATATGTATGTATATAAATAGAGAGGGACTTAGGGACCATATGAAGTTCTGGGGATTGAAGTAATGGGCTTTTAAAATATATATTGGGTTGGAGACATGGTATAGCAGATAGTCAATTGATAGTCACGGGTATAGTCAATTGCCTTGCCCGCTGCCAGTCCAGATACCATCTCCAGGACCACATATGGTTTCTTCATCCTATCCAGGAGTGGTCCCTAAGTGCAGAGCCAGGTTACAGTAAGCCCTGAGCACTTCAGAGTGTGGCCACAAAACAAAACAAAAAGTAACACCAATTTTTCAAGCAATTTTTCAGAAGTTAAAAACAAGTTAATAAGATGCCATGAATATTCAAAATTTTTTGTTTTATCTTCTCAAGGAGTTGGAAAGCAAGGCAGATTTCTTAATATATTTAACACAGAAAGAGGTTAAAGACAATTTAGTTTTTAAAAGAAATACTTAATATGATAAGGCTATTGAATTGCAGTCTTTCATTTACATGTTTTCTGAAGCTTGCAGCTTCTTTTGTTTGTTTTTGGGCCACACCTGGTCATGCTCAAGGATCACTTTTGGTGGGATCTGGGGAACATATGGGATGCTGGGGATCAGACCTGGGTCAATCGTGTGTAAGGCAAGAATCCTACTTACTGTACTATTGCTCTGACTCCTAGACTATTTTGTTTTTGTTTTTGTGCAGCACCCAGCGTTACTTAGAGTTTATTCCTGATTTTGTGCTCACAGATTACTTCTGGCACTGCTCAGGAAACCATATGGGATGTTGGGAATTGAACTGGGTCAGCTGTGTGTAAAGCAAGCTCCCTACCTGCTCTTTTATCGCTTTGGCCCCATATTTTGTTATTTTAAGAGCTCTTGTGAAATAGGAGACTTTGAGATTTCTCAATGTGAAATTTAATAATTCCTTGATGGTTATTGGGCTTTTTTTTCCTCTATAGATTACGTGATTCTTTTTGAAAGAGGAGGTTGAAGTAGGACTGGGAAGGATTTAACAGAAATGTTTTGTTTCAGGGGCTGTGCTCAAGCCTTATTCTTGGCTCTGTGCTCAGGGATCACTACTCCTAGGGTTTGGGGAATGTAGGCAGTGCCTGAGATTATTGAATCCAGATCAGCTGGTTTCAAAGCAGATGTTCTTCCTGCTCCACTATCTTTCTAGTCCATTGCAGAAGTATCTCTTAATTGCTGTTTAAATAAAAAATGGTGGTAAAAGATGTGAGCAGTCTTAGTGAAATAATCTTTGAACTGTACTCATAACAATGCATACTAAAAAATACCTTTAATGTTTTATCCACTATGTTTCTTGTGTTTTTGTTTTTAGAAAAAATATTTTGTGCATATGAAATCTGGTATTTCTATTGTTTCACTTTAAATATTAACATATAGAAGACTGTAATAAAATCAAATGATATTCTATACTAAACTATCCTATGTTCCTATGTGAGCATTTAATAAAGCTTTATAAGTTTTGTGTTATGATAAAATATAAATAGCTTTACTCAATCACCAAACTAGTTTATAAAAACTGATTTTTTAAAAACATTTATTTATATTTGGAGGCAGGGTTGGGAAAGCCGAGTAAGGAGAGGCTGCTAAAATCTTGGCTGGGACGAATGGAGACATTACTGGTGCCCGCTCGAGTAAATTGATGAACAACGGGATAACAGTGATACAGTGACAGTGATTTGTTCTTAGGCCTATTCCTTTCTTTATGGAAAGTCATTCAGACAGGGCTTTAGAGTGGTAGTACAACAGATAAAGCACTTGCCTTGTGTGTGTTCGACCTGGGTTTGATCTCCAGCATCCCGTACAGTCCCCCCAGTTCAGCCAGGAGTGATTTCTGAGTGCAGAGCTTGGAGTAAGCCCTGAGCATCTGTGGGTTTGGACCAGAAATAAAAAAAAAAGCCAGGAATATGTCCTGAGCATCCCTGGGTAAGGTCCAAAAACCAAAATAAAAGGAAGTTACTCAGATACTGATAGAAATAGCAGAACTAACAGAAAATGTATGAATTGGGATTGATACTATTTTTTGTATTATATATTTTGGGCCACACATAGCAGTGGTCAGGGCTTACTCCTCTGCACTCAGCAATCATTCTTGGTGGTTCTCAGGAGACCATATGTAGTATCAGGGATCAAACCCAGGCAAGCACCTTACCCACTGTACTATCTGCCCCTGTGGTTAATTCTAAATGTGACTAGATTAATCACTTTGGCTATCTTATTATATTGTATATTATTTTAATGGTGAGGTGAAAAGTAGCAGGGCTTAGCAATTTTCTTTCTTTTTTTTTTGGAAGGGGTTTAGTTTGGACCATAACCTTGCTGTGTTCAGGTGTTATTTCTGACTCTGCTCTGGTGGACCATAAGCGGTTCTGGGAAATTGAACTGGGACATGCCACATTCAAGACAAAGAGCTTGTTGTTGTTTTTTAGGGGCCACACAAGGTGTTTGGGCTTTCCCCTGGTTCTGTTCTCAGAGATAATTCCTGGCAGGCTCAGGGTACCGGATGAGATGGGAATAGATTGAATCAGATCAGTTGTATGTAAGATCAAACCAGATTAGTTATATACAAGACAAGCACCTCACCTTATCCACTGTACTATTGCTCCAGCCCCAAGTGTCTTAGCTTCTGTACCATCTCTTTTGTCCTTAGCAAACTGTTTTTTTTAAATAAAGGGTCAGCTAATTAATATTTAAGACTTGCAGGCGGTAAGTTTTCATTTCAAGTGCTCATCTTTACTTTTATTGTGGAAACATGATGTATGGAATATATATATGTGTATAGGAAGATTATATTCAAGTAATACTTCATTATTTGAATTTCACACAATTTTCACACGACATGTTATGTTTCTTTCAGCTGTTAAAAAATTTATTCATCATTCTTAACTTTGGGGCTGTAACAAATAGGTGGTGGGAAGATTTGGTAAGCCAGCCATAATTTTCTAGCCCTACTCAGATTAAAAAGTGGAGACAGTTGATGGTAGGGGGATTTAAAAAAAAAGGAGAAAGTTAGTTAGTGATTGCATATAACTATTTTAAAAATAGTCAGTTGTGTTAAAAATATGAATTTGTTAGGACCAGAGCTATAATATAGCGGGTAACGTGCTTGCCTTGCACATGGCCAACCTGGGTCCAGTTCCCAACACCCCATATAGTCCTTTGAGCCGACCCAGAGTGACCTTAGTGCACCACCAGGTGTGTTCCAACTCCCACCCACTCAAATGAATATGTTAAATATCTGAGCATTTATATTTAAATTTTCAATATGTTATAGCTGTGTTTTTGTGATATGCTTATGTTTTTGCAGACTGTTGATATTCATAAAGAGAAAGTTGCAAGAAGAGAAATTGGTATCTTGACTACCAATAAAAACACTTCAAGGACACATAAGATTATTGCTCCAGCCAATCTTGAAAGACCAGTTCGTTATATTAGAAAACCTATTGACTATACGATTCTAGATGATATTGGACATGGAGTAAAGGTAAGTATATTTTCTGTCAAGCTTTTAAAAGCAATAGCTCATAAACGAAACTATTTAGAAAATTAAACTCACATTTTTCTTTCTTAGAGTCTTGGCCCAGTTGTCGCTCTGAAGATCCCTGACATCTATTACTGTTTTATCCATCCTTTTTCTTCCTGGTGCTATGTTTTTAAATTTCGTCATCTTTGAATGAATTGCATTTGCCTAAACAGTCGAGATAGTACCTCATTTAGACTTGGTAAATAATAGTAATAAACTCTTAATCTTTTGGTGATTGCATATAACTATTTTTAAAATAGTTAACATATTTTCTTATCTCCAAATTTCTTTAGCAGACACCAATTTCTTTGGTGGAATTAGTGTAGATGAGTTTAATATGTGAATTAGCATTTCCTGTACTATTTTTTAGAACTAACATATACAAACATGTACTTTGAATTTTTCTAAAATAATTTTATTTTGCTCGAGCGGGCCCAGTAACGTCTCCATTGGAGACTTTGTTGTTACTGTGTCTGGCATATGGAATACTCTCGGTAGCTTGCCGGGCTCTCCGAGAGGGGCGGAGGAATCGAACTCGGGTCGGCCATGTTGACCGCTTGTAAGGCGAACGCCCTACCCGCTGTGCTATCGCTTTTATTTTATTTTAGCACTTTTGGTGGAATTAGTGTAGATGAGTTTAATATGTGAATTAGCATTTCCTCTACTATTTATTATAGAGGCATTGTATTTTGACTACTCTTTAAAATGTTATTTGAATGATTGTTATGTACAATCAAAACTGAAGAGCATATTAATTTCATGTAACTTGGTGTTTATACTTGACAGACGTATTCTTATCCTCACCTAAGTATTAAGCATTTAAATTTTTATATCATCAGTGATTTAAAAGACAATGACTAATTTGATGGCTTAAGTATGTGTGTGTATATATATATACATATATAAATATACATATACATACATATGTATTACATGCTGGTGAGACTTAAAAGTTCATGCAATTAATTTATGTCAAATGCAGGCACTTTTAAAAAAATGCCCCATCTAGTATAGTTAGATACCAGTTAAATCTAAAGTTAGTCTAAGTCTATAATTTTTATTTCTTTCTTTTTGGTGTTTTTGGGTCACACCTGGCAATGCTCAGGGATTACTCCTGCCTCTGCACTCAGAAACTACTCCTGGCGGTGCTGGGGGACCTTATGGGATGCTGGAGATCAAACTTAGTCACATGCAAGGCAAATACTCTGCCTGCTGTACTATGGCTGCGGCCCCTAAGTCTTTTTTTTTTTTGGTCACACCCAGCGATATTCAGGGGTTACTCCTTGCTCTGCACTCAGGAATTACTCCTGGCGGTGCTTGGGGGATCATATGGGATGCCAGAGATTGAACGCAGGTCTGCTGCGTGCAAGGCAAACGCCCTACCTGTTATACTGTCACTCTGGCCCCAAGTCAAAATATTTTTTAAAATGCATAAATTTAAAAAGTTTTTCTTCCTCAATTTTCTAAAATAAGCACTATTTTTCTAATTTGATACTTAATTTCTTATGTATGCGTTTATATTACTATAATAGTCTATTAATATAGGATGTATAGTTGATGACTAATAACCAAAATTTATAATTTAGAAAGATTTTTTTGATTTATTCAAAACTAATTGCTAATAGATAAATTTAGAGTGTTGAATCTTCAAAAGTTATAATATTTGACATCATATCTCAATTCTTTTTTATTCCTCAAGTAAGATGTTATTTGAAAACCCTGTAGTCCCTTTGTTTGGATTTAGAGTGTATAGTGGTCACTAATTTGAAGAAATTGTTAATAAAGTTGTTTTTTAATAAAACCAAGTGTCATAATTTCATCAAAATAAAACTTCTGTCCATGACACATTCTGCTTTTAACCACTCTTTCTATGATCTATTGAAACATTATTTTTAATGCTAATGCTTAACTTGTTTTTTCTGTTTTTTTTTTTCCTTTCTCTTCACATCCTGAAAGTTCCAACTAACCTTTCAATGCTTTTTTTTCCTTACCTCTTTTATTTGCTCCATTTATGCATTAAGTGGTTGCTTAGATTTAAGGTAAGAGATTCCAGGGCTGGATTTCCATTCTTTATTCTTATGTAGAATATTACATATGGGGAGTGAAGAATTATGTGGCACTTGGCCTTTTAAAATAATTCCTCTTTAAAAATACTGTCATGCAACTTTGTAGTGTCTTCATGTTCTATGAAGGCACTTTTCCCCTCTTTTATTCACTGCCCTAATTGTGCACCCAGAATAGTACCTGACACAAGTACAATGGGCACTAATTTTTTTTTAATAAGTGACCTTTTGCAATGTTGACATAGTCTATGAAACTGAAATACAAGTTTCCCTATCATAAAGTGTCATTATGCAGTAAATTAGCTAAATTTCTATGAATGTAGGAATTCTGTTAGGGAGAGCCAATTAATGTGCTTCATTTAACCCTCCCCCTGTGTAATTACTTTATTCTATAAATGGTGTGCTTTATTATACACCTTGTGACCAACTTGTTATTATTTCCTGGCTCTTTTCAATGTGAAGAAATTGAGAAGTGGAAAATATTCAGTGTTAATCATTTTTTTTAAGTTGCAGTATCATATATTTAATATATTTCACAAAGAAACAAGAACTAGCCTTTTTCTGTTGCCTTGTTAGTTATGTAGCACTGTAGCACTGTCCTCCCATTGTTCATTAATTTGCTCGAGCAGGCACCAGTAATGTCTCCATTGTGAGACTTGTTACTGTTTTTGGCATATTGAATACACCACGGGGAGCTTGCCAGGCTCTGCCGTGCCAGTGGGATACTCTTGGTAGCTTGCTAGGCTCTCCAAGAGAGACGGAGGAATTGAATCCTGGTCAGCTGTGTGCAAGGCAAATGCCCTACCCACTGTGCTATTGCTCCAGCTTTGTTAGTTATGTATTTCAGTATATACCTACTTGAATTTTTAAGCCAATTTTCGGTGCAAAGTATCAAAAGACTCATGACAGCATATTAAAAAAAAGACACAAGAATTGGATCTTGTTATTTGTTTCAGAGCTAGATTGTAAGGCTAATGATTAAAACATTTAAGCTTACTCAGTCTTGTCAAGTATAATATTACAAAGATGATTTTCACAATCTGAGCATACTTTTTTTTTCCTTAGCTGAATTTTATACTTTTTTCAAATGTATATCGTAAGCCTGTTGTTTGTCACATCTTTAGTTAGAGGGTGATAGCAGGAAGCAAACACTGCAGAAGAATTATTTGAGTGAAGACTGTAATTGTGGCCACAGAAGTTTGAATAGATTATGATATAGAAATGTAACTTAAGGATCTCAGACAAATGTACTTTTTGTATTATTTATTGATGTTCTTACTCTGAGCACTTCATCTTGGTGAATGAACCGTGTAGAATTATGAAGGCAATACCTTTCTTTTAAAGTAGGTGGAAATAATTCAAAAAGTCTTTTGGCTTCCTTTCCTTTACCTCCTGTAGTCAGCTGTAGTCAGCTTAAAATGTTAACTATTATGTGTGAATCTCCAAAGTGATAGAAGTACAAAGAGAGGTTAACTAAAGGGAAACACCAATCTGGAATAATTCCTTTCCTTTAAAGTTTAGACTTGTTCACCTAAGCCATCATCTCATGCTCATTCCTCTGGACTCTGCTATGATTTCTTCTTGATCTTCCTGGGTTCAGGATCAGTTCTGTGTGGGAGATCAATCTAAAACGAGAGCTTCCTAGAAAGAAAGATCTAATTATGAAGCATTATGCTTGATTAAATATCTATTTTTTGTTTGCATGAAAAAATGCTGGTCACGGTCCTCCCGTTGTTCATCGATTTGCTTGAGCGGGCCCAGTAACGTCTCCACTGTGACACTTGTTACTGTGTCTGGCATATCGAATACGTCACGAGGAGCTTGCCAGGCTCTGCTGTGCGGGCGAGATACTCTCGGTAGCTTGCCGGACTCTCCGAGAGGGCCGGAGGAATCGAACTCGGGTCGGCCATGTTGGCTGCCTGGAAGGCAAACGCCCTACCGCTGCTCATGAATTTTTTTTTCCAACCAAGCTTCTTGGACTCCTATAAGTTATACCAAGTGCCCTAAAAGTCTCCTGATTCTTGTGATAGAATTATCTCATATTTTTCCTCAGTAACACTTTGTGAACTCTAGCTCTGTTTCTGCTTCATTGACTTTTGATGGCTACTAGACCAGCTTCAAGTAAAGATCATACATTAGGACCAGACACATGGGATTTGACCTTGAAAAATACTTTCAAGCTTAAAAGTTGACTTTAACATTTTCTGTGATGCTCAGTGTTCTTTTCAGCCTGGGTTAAATTTTTAATTTTTGGTCAATTGAGGGGAACAGGTTGTAGAGCTTAATGCATACGACCTTTAAAAAACAATGTTGGTGATTTAAAAACAACAGCAACAAAGTAATGCACATAAGGAAGGGCCAGAGAGAGAGAACTCAAAGATCTGGAACTTGTGACTTGTATGGACATAAAGGGTCAGCAGATAGAATTACTGGTGTTTTAATATGTATATAAAAGAATGTACCTTAAATTTGGGTGTCATTTTCTTACTATTTTGGAAGTAAAAAGAATTTTAAGACCGTGTTACTCATGTATTTGAAATGCATTTTTTATGGAAAGTGGTACAGTTTTTACTAATGAAGCAAAACTTCAGTACTTTTAAATATGTATTGTCACTGTCACTGTCCTCCCGTTGCTCATTAATTTGCTCGAGCGGGCCCAGTAACGTCTCCATTTTGAGACTTGTTGTTACTGTGTTTGGCGTATTGAGTACGTCACGGGTAGCTTGCCAGGCTTTGCCGTGCGGGCGAGATACTCTCGGTAGCTTGCCAGGCTCTCCTAGAAGGGCGGAGGAATCAAACCCGGCTTGGCCAGGCTGGCTGCATGCAAGGCAAATACCCTACCACTGTGCTATCGCTCCAGCCCCTTAATTAAACTAAGTATTAGTTTAATTTAAAAAAAAGAAAGTGGGGCTGGAGCGATAGCACAGTGGGTAGGGCATTTGCCTTGTATGCGGCCGACCCGGGTTCGATTTCCAGTGTCCTATATGGTCCCCCGAGCATCACCAGGAGTGGTGCATGAACCAGGAGTAATCCCTGTGCATCGCCAGGTGTGACCCAAAAAGCCAAAAAAAAAAAAAAAAAGGTGTAGTCTTGCTTGGAGCTGTTGGGTAGGGCACCTGCTTTGCATATGGCCAGCTAGGATATTCAATCCCTGGCACCACATATGTTTTCTGAGCCCTGTCAGGAGTCCTGAATTCAGTTAAAATTCCTGAGCACTGTAGCACTGTCCTCCCATTGTTCATCGATTTGCTCGAGTGGGCAAATGTCTCCATTGTGAGACTTATTGTTACTGTTTTTGGCATATCGAATATGCCACAAGGAATTTTCCAGGCTCTGCCCTGCGGTTAGGATACTCTCGGTAGATTGCCGGGCTCTCCAAGAGGGATGGAGGAATTGAACCCTGGTCGGCTGCGTGCAAGGCAAATGCCCTACCAGGAAAAATCCCTGAATGATGTGGCCCCAAAACAAAAACAAAATGTAAAATCTTCTGACTTACTAATGTAAATTTATTTTAGTTGAACTTTTTGAAGCCTGATTTTAAATAATGAGGAGGATTTAGGACTTATTCTACAGCTAACACATTAAAAATATAATACTTTGAGTTTTTCTTGGGACACTAAAGATCCATTAACATCTGTTTTTAAAACTGGACTCAGTTCTCCTCTTGTTTGATATAACAAGTGTTTACCATTCTCTACTGAAGGATAAATTGCTAATCAGGGCTTTAGCTCTCCTCTTGTTTGATATAACAAGTGTTTATCATTCTCTTCTGAAGTTTAGATAAATTGCTACTCAGGTCTTTAGCTTTCAGGTGCAACTAAGGGCTCGAATGCTTTGCAGCATTTATTTGACATTGCACATGGAAGAAATTCTCCCTAACAGTAGTTCTGGGGAGGCACATCAGCTTTTGCTGATTAGTTCTAAACTTTGAGCCACCATTTGTATTTTGGTAAAAGGTAATTGTCACATACTATTTTTCAAAACACGTAAGTAGTTTACCTTTATTCTTCTTTTCTTCTGTTTCTCTTCACTTTCACTCATAATTTCTTACTCTGTAGTAAATATACTGGGTTATGTTAGGACTTCTTGGCACTTCAGACTTTTTGTCTAACACTCTTTAAATATTTTTACCTCTGTCAAGAGGTCAGTTAAAATTCCTGATTTCAGCTTGAAGGATCACCCAGTCCTAATAAAGTAATAATCATATATGTCTATCTTCCTTTTTAGGAACAGAAACATCCCTAGGAAGCAAAAAAAAAAAAAGAAAGAATAAAAGAAAGAGAAAAATAGTACCTAATGGGAGTATTAGGAACAATACTGGAGAGTAAATGAAGACCTAGAGGTCCTTGTGCCTCCTTAACAATTATACATTCAGATACAACCCACAATTGCTGTTCTCTTTATATCTTTACATTGTGCTCTTTAAAAAAAAAGTCTAGCTCCGTTTTTCCTCTATTAAACCTCTGTAACTATTCCTTCTCAAATTTGTATTTCTTTGGGGTTGTTAAAACCATGGTTGTATAAACCATGTTCTGTATGGTTTAGAAATGCTCCCTTTCTCCCCAAACCTGAGTCTTATTTATTCCAAACTATTATAAAAGCCTTAAAGTGAAATAATTGTGTAGACCTTTGCACATCTCTCCCTGAGCTTCTCTCATTTTTAGTGTTCCTCTTTCCCTTTTACTTGGTCTGGTAAGTGATAGGTGATTTATAAATGAAGGCCATGCCATAGGCATCACTTTAGAATGTTTCTACCATGGTTATATTGCACCAGCAAGTCATATTAGTGGCAGATTTTTTCATAGCAGAGGTGATGTTCTTAGTAGCACTGTAGCACTATAACACTGTTTTCCCGTTGTTCATCAGTTTGCTTGAGCGGGCCCAGTAACGTCTCCATTGTGAGACTTGTTACTGTGTTAGATATCTGGCTTTCCTAGGAAAGGCACTGATAATTTATAATGACATATAAGGGCAAAAGATAAATATACTTTAAAAAGAATAGAATAGGCTAGGTAAGAGAACTGTCTATAGGCCATAAAAGAAAAATGTTAAGGCCTGATACATGGTGCTAGTTGTAGAACTCTCCAGAGCCTAGAGCACTTTGATGATAAAGGTACTAGTTATACCTCCAATATTATCTGTGTTCCTTAGTTCCAGGTCAGTGGGAAAGTTAAGTTGAGGCCATGTACCACTTTTAATACCAAATGAAAATGTCTTCTGTTTTTCTCCCTGTTAGGAAAAAGCTAAGAATCTTTGCATTGTTCCTTCTTTTGCCTGACATTTGTTACTTGGCTCTCAATGATGACTTTCTCCTTTATAGAAAAATAAGTGGTCACATATTAAATTATTATTGTAATCACCCCCCAAAGTTTCATTCTAATAGTTCTAATTATCTCAGCGGTTTCCTTAAAAGTTTCATGTGGACATGTTGTTACTTTATTTTCTTTGTTCTGAATTTATGGTGTGTGTATGTACACACACGTACACATTGGAGTAAGTACAAACACACTGTTTAAGTTCTCCTTTACCACATACAGTTGAATCATGATTTTTTTTTAAGTTTTTGAGGAAACCTTTTTCCCTGTAAACTTACCATAAAACAGTTTATAGAACCATTATGACTGTCCACTAAATTATTATTTTATTTTATTTTCCCCCCACACTTTATTTAAACACTGTAGTTCACAGAGTTGTTCATGATTTGTTATAGGCATTGATATTCCAACACCAATCCCACCACCACTGTCACCTTCCCTCTACCATTGCCTCCATTCTCCCAACCACCACTCAAGCCTGCTCCCATAGCAAGTCCACAGTAATTTATCTTACATTGCTTGTTACCAATAAATTACTAATGAAATGATCAAAAAATATCCTTAGAAGAAAATTAGCGAAAATTGTTGTATCTCACCATGGAGACATTGTCTGTCTGAGGGATTACTAAGGTGTTATTACAAGTTAAGCCTTCTGTGCTAAATTTTTTTTAAATCAAGATTGCTTGGCTTTCACATTATAGACCATCCAACCTGGTGTACTACTACTGGATTGTCAATGTTGTAAATTTTGGGAATGTCTAATGTGGCTCTCTGCATTGCAAAAAGTTCATAATTTTTAAATGGGGGTCCAACTGGAGTTAAATTTTTAACGGGGCTTTGTCAGAGAAATTTTTGCAGCTAGTTGATCTCTTTAGAGACTTATTTATGCATCTCTAGAACAAGGTCCATAGATGAGTTTATATGGCACAAGATGTGGTTTGTGGGTGTGGTTTGCTGGGGCTTCTGGAAGTATAAGGAGGTAGGGGGAGGTAGCACTTCCTGACTCCCAGAAGGCTTGGAGTTCTCAACTACAGTCCTGTGTGTCTGACTTTTTCTAACAGGTTTAGTACTCTGAGTCTTAGACCTGAGGTGATAGAGTCTGGCCAGAGGCATGACTGTGGCTTTGGGGTGTGGGAGCTAGTGGCTGCTGAAGCTTTGGGTGGGCGCTGGCCTATCCCACTCAGTACCCAGGATGTCTCAGCCAGGAATTGGTGTTCAAACAATTTTTATGGCTAGTTACGAGTGTGGCTCAAAACCAATAGTTGAGCTTAAAGGTGGTAGAAATCTTTATCAAGTTATTTTAGATTTCAAATCATGTCTTAACTCTATAACTTAGAGTAGGAGTTATTATGATTCCATGGTAAATTGTTTTGCTTCACAACTGTTCCGCTCTTTTTTTTTTACTCATATTAGAAGGCAGCAATGATATTTTTTATATCATATTCACTGTTTTACTTAGCATATAAGCAGTGTTTCCACAGTTACTACTTTGAAAATTTGAAAACATAACATAATATAAAGTAATACAGTTCTAGTGTAAATTTTTTTTATGAAGACTCATAGAAGATACTGCAATTTAAAACAAAATCAATTACATGCCAAAACATTAAGCAATCAAAGTTGGGAAAAATGTTTTCAAGTGTTTCAGCTATTCCATGTATAGAATAAAATTCTCTTTTACTCTCTTTCTCTCCCTGCTCCTTTTTCTTCCTACTTCTAGAAATTGATGTAGTTTAGTGTTTGGTTTATCTGTTTCTCCCTCACCACTTAAAGTAATTTTAGGTTTATGTTAAAGTTGAGCTTAAAGGACTTTGGTAACTACTTTAAAAATTCTTTCATTATAAATTAAGATTTGTATTTTTAAAAGCTATTGGTTATTTTTCATATTGCTACTGAAAATTTTCTCAAATGTAAATTGATTTTAAAATAAAAATCTTTTGACACTTTTGAGACTTTAGTATACCCTCTGCACATTAGCGAGGGGGATAATAAGGATATATTAATTTTTGCTCTACATGATAATGTATTTGTAATATTCAAAATTAATAACAAAAGGGTTACAGATTAATGCTTCCCTTTAAAAATACTGACATTTCAAAGGCATCCTTTCAGTTTGTCTTAACATCACACACAATGTGTTCACTGGGCTTTTCATTTGAAGAGTTTATTTCTTGGTCTGTTATTTTTTACCTATTTGTGTAAGTGGTATTTTAAGATTTAAATAATTCCATTGAGTCAGTTAATTTTTAGTCTCAGTACTTTATACAATTATAACTTTTTCTTAAAATTAATATTTTGAAGTTACAAGTGCCTTCTGATGTCAGTGGCATTGGTACAGTTTTATTTTACAAGTATACTTTGAATACTTTAGAAATCTTCTTTTGGTTGTTGTTGGGTTTTTGTTTGTTTAATTTTTTGTGTTTGGACCACAACTGGCAGTGCTCAGGGATGACTCCTGGCTATGCACTAAGAGATCATTCCTAGTGTGGTGTTCAGGGGATCATATGGGATGCCAGGGAATCAAATCAAGGTTGGCTGCATGCAAAGCAAGACCCCTACCTGCTGTACTATCTCTCCAACCCTAGATATCTTTTTGAAAGTTTGGATTTTATTTTGAAATGGCCAAAATATCAGGGACTTAAAATAGGGCCAGTTACGAAGGTGTATGCTGAATTCCCATGGTAATTTTAAACAGTTTGAAATCAGAATGGGACTATTTTATGTGACTTCTCTCAGTTCCTTAGAATAATCCAGATTTTCTAGAGTTTTCTGAATTAGTACTGACATAACTCCTTGAGTAAAAAAATTAGTGTTTTCCAAGATTATGTAGCTTTCTTATACTTGTCTTTTTGGATTGAAATGGAGTCATGAGGACTTATGGCCAAATTCTGAATTAGACTATCTTACACCTTTCCCTTACCTGAATTTTTATTTTGGGCTTGAGTAGATCTAACTCCCACTGGAGCTAGAACATTGTCATTGGCTCCTAAGTGGCTCACAGTTGAAGGAGATACTTCTGACAAATTTCCTGGTTCACAGTTGAATGAGATACTTCCATTGTAATTTCCTGGTTCAGATATTTAGGAGCATTCTTTAACTAAGGGCAGTTTTCATGTAGGTTATTTCTTCAAAGAAAACATTAAAAAATATGAATTGAAAATTCAGATCCACAATTAAAAGAACTAAAATTTTCTTTGTATATCATATTTTTATTTTGTATTCTCTAGTTTCAGTAGAAAAATTGTAGTTGCATGTTTTATTAAGAAACTTATTTCTGTTTTTGTATGATATATTTCCTACTAATCAGAGAAATTACTTAATGACACTTTTTTGATTGAGTTGCTATTCATTATAACTCAAGTTTTATTGTTATTTATTTACCCATCTTAATTCAGTCAAGTGTATTTTCAAATAATCTAACCAGTGACCTGTTGGTGTGATGGCCTAATGGCAAATAGTCTTTACAAAACGTTTAAAATCAGTTGAAAATCTCACATTAGGAAGAGTCCTTTGAGTACAACTATGGAATAATAATAAATAGAAATTGCATATGAAATGCATGGCCTATAATTTTTTTTTCTATTTAAACCTTCCCCTCTTTTGTTAACTAGCATAACGTGATTTCCAAAAAGTACCACTTTGTTTCACTATATGTAAGTTGAGTTCTCAAAAATTTTTTAGGTGAGTACCCAGAATATGAAGATGGGTGGGCTGCCTCGTACAACACCTCCAACTCAGAAACCTCCCAGCCCCCCAATGTCAGGGAAAGGGACACTTGGGTGAGTATGTAATTAAAATTGAAAATCATTTCATGTAGTATTGTATGAAAACACACACTATATGTTGTTTAATGTTTCTAATATTAGTAACAGCATTTTCTTCCTAGCATTATGATGTCATGTGTAACGTTTGGGGGCAGACATCAGATTCTTCAGACTTTAAAAATGTTTAAAAATTTTTATAGTTTCTCAGCTTGAGTTAAAATTCTAGCCCGAGTTTTTGGTTTATTTGTTATAAGTTGTGATTTAATTCATATATAAGAAAATCTTTAGTCTTTCTTATTACAGCTGACTGTTCTTATTCAGACTGTTTTTCTGAAGTATATTATAGATCACAAAACTGTGTCTTGTGTTATGAGACTGTGGAACTTTAATTTGGCCATACAGAATTGGGCTCCAGCTTTGAATTTTGGCAGATGGTCAATTAATGGTCAATTAATGGATAATTTTGACATTTTTCTTCTATTACATCCTGTAGGTAGGCATCATAGAGCCCAGAAACTAAATGATTAAAATTGTGGTTCATCTCTACTTCTGCTTTCTGTATAATCAGTCTTTTATTCAGTTTTTTCATCTGTAAAAGGGGGTAATATTTGTCCTTTAACAACTTTTTAGAGCCACTGTAGTACAAATTGGATTTTAAAAAATTATGTAGGATAAGACAAAATGCTTTGAAAACCATTGGCTTTATGATATATACTTGAAAGTTTTAATTGACATTCTTATTTTTGGACCCCTCACCAAAACAAAACAAAACAAAAACACCTAAACCCAAAAATAGCAAAACAAAGAGCACTACCAAGAAAACTAAACTTACTACAATAAACACATAAAAAATGACCTAATCAAGCACTATGTATTTGCATAGGACAAAGATGAGTTGGGATATAAAGGAGGAGGAAGAGGACAGTGGGAAGCCAAAGAATAAAAAATGAATTCTAGCCAGGAATAGGATTATTTGATTCTGTTTAGATTTTAAAGGAAAGAATCCAGTAGAGAAATTATTTAAACTTTATGATGACATGATTGGGTATAGTTAGAGTTGTGCGAGAGTTAAGAAAGATAGGTCCCGAGGAGGTACTTTTTGGGTGAAACATTTATTTCTCATAATACCTGAGAGATTTTGTCACCTTTAAAATCAAGAATATTGGCAGTAGGGGAGGTAGTACAGCGGGTAATGCTCTTGCCTTACAGCCAACTAGAGTTTGATCCCTAGTACCACGCATGGTCTCCTGAGCACTGCCCCCCAAAACAAAACTAACACAAAGAGAATATTGGTAAGATTATTCACTGTAGTTTTTTAGTAAAGTGTTTTGTTACTCTTGTTACTCTCAAATTTTGAATATTTGCTCATTTGCCTCTGTGTGTGTGTGTGTGTGTGTGTGTGTGTGTGTGTGTGTATTAGTAAGGATTCTGTAAGATCATTGGAGACCAGAGTTGTTGCGTACCATAAGCTGGTTGATGGTGAAAGTCTGGTGTTAATATCACACTGTCTTTGGCCTCATCCTGTCATATTTTGTGCATCTGCCCTGGTTTTACACCTTGTTTTTATCTTGCATTCACCATATAGATCTCAGATTGGTAAAAGTTTCTTTTTCCAATGAAGCAGAACATTTGTGTTGTTTGGAAATCAGATATTTAGAAATCATTTATTTTCCTATTTTATTTTTTATGTTGACATAATGTCATTAATGCTTAAACCCCTATTTAGTATCTTAAGTTCAAGCTCCCTACGTTTCACTTTTCTTTCTTTGACCCTCTGTCTCATCCAGGGCTCCTTATTGACATACATATGTATCTACTTGTGTAGATACATATATGTATATATCTATATATATACACACATATGTATGTGTATAGATATGTATATATATAGATACATATATACATATATGTGTATGTTTGTGTGTATATATATATGCGCAAGGGCATTTTCAGAATAGAACGAACAGGATCATTACATAATGATCTTATTCATAACCAAAGAACTATAACTTAACTATAACTATAACTTAAGTAGCCAAGAAAACAGTATTTAAAGAGTGCTTTTGGGAAGTGAATTATTGAGAAATACATTAAGTCAATTGAGCCTTGACTCATTCTCGGAAAAGAAAGCCATTTAGTTTTTACATCTTAAGAATCCTAATTTTTATTCTTTTAAAGACCACAAAATGGTTTTATCTATAAAAAGTTTCATGTTGTTGGATATTTTTCATTGTCATAAAGAATTTGGAAACTGAGAGATAACTAGTTAATAATCACTAATATTCTGGTATGCATCATATTTCCTATCATACTTTTTGTCATTCTCTTTAATAGAAAAGAACATTTTAGAGAGAGTGGGAAATAAATATATTGATAAAATCTTATCTGGCTTTTGACATTCAAAGCAATTAAGATAAAGTTCAGTTGGCCATTTTTCTCTTTTTGTTTTAAATTCTGAACTCTGAGAAAGGTAAGACTCAAGAAAGACTTAGATGAAAACAGGGATAAGGTGAGTTGAGAACAAAAGGAGATGAGATTAAATTGTGTATTTATCTGTTGAAATATAGTTTAATTTCTATCTATTTACTGTGTAGAAAGGGATATATGACCAGCGAAGTGGCTAGTATTAGAGCACCTACTTTGCTCTTGTTTGTGTGAGGCATTGAGCTCAACTCCTAGCACTTCCTGGCTCAAGCACTGTTGGGTTATGGCTCTGGTGGTTCCCAAGCACACCCTTAAGAGTGGCTCTGGGCCAGGATTACTAATTGCTGTGACCCCCATAAGAGTAACAAAGAGAAGGAGTGGCTTAGGCTGCTGTGGATCATGTATGGAGGTTACAGAGCCAATTTTGAAGTTTAGTCTAATGTCATTGGTTAGCAAGAGAGGGGAGAGGAAGAAAATGCATTGGCACAATGCAGTTGACTTCATCTAAGAAGTGAAGAGTCTGGGCATCCATTGGCTTACCTGGTTGGATGATTTTTGCATTCTCTGAGAATGAAGGAACAAAATGGTCTTAGTACACAGAAATGAAATAGGAAAATAAAAGTACACATTGAACTTGAATTGTGGAAAGTGATAGTGAAAGATTAAATTAGTAGCTGTGTGGTGTTTCTATACATTTTCCTATTTCTAAGTACAAATTGTATTTCACTACTGGCAACTCTTTGAATTTTTTGTGCCAAAATCTGCTAATCACACAATACATACGCTCTTCTTTTTGTAGGCGGCACTCCCCCTATCGCACACTGGAGCCAGTGCGTCCTCCAGTGGTACCAAATGATTACGTACCTAGCCCAACCCGTAATATGGCTCCCTCGCAGCAGAGCCCTGTGAGGACAGCTTCTGTGAATCAAAGAAATCGAACTTACAGGTATTTTCTCTACCTCATCACAAATCGTGATGGTCATAGTACCATAATTTGTTCAAATTACTTCAGTTAAAACTCTCTCATTTTCCAAGCACTAAGTTCTTTTTCTCACTCTACTCCCCAAACCTCATCTGATTCCTTTTCTCTCTCCTCATCTTCTGATGCAACTTTGAGCAGTTAGTATGTTGAAAAAAGGAAAAAATAAATTCAAAGTGCAAACATCTCTATAAGATTAGTAGTGATAGCTGATCTGAAAAAAAAATGAACCTGATATGGGAAATTTCAAGTTGTTTTTTGGTGGAACTTTACAGATGAAAAACTATACAGTATAAACATTCATAGGGAATAATATATCTATATAATTGCAAATAAAAGTAATCAAATAATGTCTTTAGGTAAACACTTATCAAAGATGTTTTCTTCACACAGGCATCCAACTGGAGTGAATGTATCATCGTTTATTGTTTATATTTATGGAGAATATCTCTTCCTCAATTTCTTTAATATGTGCTTTTAAAACGTGGTCAGAATAAGATTCTTAAGCTCAGTCTTTTCCTCTGCTTTTTCATGAAACTGACATTTGAAGTGGACAGGTCTTGTCTTATTGTAGCTATATTCATTTCAGGAAATTTGGGGAAATACTGGAATTATTTTACTGTATATAAATACTCATGTGTTGATGGCTCTTATTTCTTTAGCAGCAGTGGGAGTAGTGGAGGAAGCCACCCAAGTAGTCGGAGCAGCAGTCGGGAGAACAGTGGAAGTGGGAGTGTGGGCGTTCCCATTGCTGTTCCTACTCCCTCTCCTCCCAGTGTTTTTCCAGGTAAAACGTGAATGCTGCTTCATCTTTGTCCTTTCTGAATTTGAATTCAAGTTTCTGATTTAATTACAGTGGGCTTTCTTCATAATCAGGATTTTTTTTCCCCTTTAGGACTCCGTAATTGTTGGGAAATCTTTATGCATTTGTTATTTTTAACCAAGTATTATGTAAGTTTATGCTCTCTTATTTGGTTTTATTTCTTTGGTGTTGGTACTGTGGGTCACTTGGTGCTTTGAAGTTTCAGGTACCACCCTGGTATGAGTTACCTGTTTAATTCCAGATAGGCTTACAGCACTGCATACCTTGGATACATGGGGACTCTTGAGAGTCATAGTGGTAACAAAGGAGAGGAAAAATATAAAAGTAATCTTGACAGTTAAGTTATATTTAGTTTAGTTGACTCATAACACTTTATCTCTGAAATAATATTCTCTTTTCTTGAAATACAAAAATGCGTTTATTTAACTTAAGGACACACAAAGTTAATTTAATTTTAAAAACATGAGACACTGGGCCAAAAAGATAGCATAGGTGGTGAAGCACTTACCTTGCATGTAACCAGTGTTGGTTTGATCTCTGGTAACACATATAGTCCCCTGAACACCGCCAGGAGTGATCCCTAAGCACAGAGTCAGGAGTAATCCCTTAGCAATGCTAGGTATGGCCCAAAAAACAAAACATAATAAGCTTATTAACAGATGATGCCTTACTAAAAAACATGAAAAACAGATGTTTTTCTCAATTCGTTATCTGATAATATTTGTAATAATACTTGTGTTTGGTATATGCATTTTCTGATTTGTACTATTTGAAATATAATGCTTAGTTTTATATATTATTTAAAGAATTTTATGCTAAAAATGACAGTATAAAGGGAGTACTTTTCTTCCAGAGTAGTGGCTTTCAGGTAAAAAAGGAAATGCTTTTTTTGGTGAATTAAAAAATCTGGCCCTTACCCCAAGCATCTTGAATTTTCTGCAAACATAATAATCCTTTAACATGATCTTTATTTTTTAAAAGCATTCTTCATTTTTTTTTTGGTTAGTGTTAAGCAGTGAATGAAAGTCTAACATTAAATTCTCTAACTCCTATTCTAATCCTGCCTAATGAGACTGCTTCATTAATGCTAATGCTGCCTCTTACTCCTCTTTCCCCTCAGCCCCTGCTGGCTCTGCTGGTACTCCTCCCCTTCCTGCTACTTCTGCATCTGCCCCTGCCCCTCTTGTTCCTGCTTCTGTCCCTTCCTCCACTGCCCCAGATGTTGCTGCGGGGGGTCCCCAGGCCCTTGCTGATGGCTTCACTTCTCCTACTCCCCCTGTTGTTTCTTCCGCTCCCCCTACAGGTGAGTATTGGCTTATTCCTTGGCAGGTGCATCCAATCATCTGGTTCCTCTGTTTCCTGGAATTCTCTTTTCATTAGTGTGTTGTGTAAAAAAAATTGTAATAATAGTGTACTAACTAAAAATAGCATGTGACTTAAGACTAGAATTTGCTGATGAAGTGACATACAGTTTCTTGCAATAACATGTGTGCTCTTAATTGCTTGAATCTAATACACTAAATTTCACAGCTTTATTTGTGAATTTAATGTGGCTGTCTTTTATTTAGTTTGAAAAGTAGTCGTTAGGTGTATTGTTTATTACAGGTTAAGACATTAAAACAATGAAAAATTTGGCAGTAATTTGAAGATTTATGTTATATAATAAAGTCTATAATTCTAACAGGATTCACCACTAATTGTAACAGCTTTGGGAGATTTTAAGGAGTTCCAGATTTTAGTGTTGACTGGTGAATTATTTTAAAATGAGAGTCCTGGGCTGGAGCAATAGCACAGTGGGTAGAGCATTTACCTTGCATGTGGCCCCCCTGGATTCAATTCCTAGCATTCCATATGGTCTCCTGAGCACCGCCACGAGTGATTCCTGAGTGCACAGCCAGGTGTAACCCCTGACCAAAAAAGCAAAAAATAAATAAAATAAAATCAGAGTCCTCCTGAAACTGTCATGAACAAATTTTCAAATCATAGTGCCTTAATTAAAAACAAATAAAATATATAAACCAACATTTATTTTGGGATGTTAAAATAGTGATGCTAGTGATTAGTAAACAGGTTTTATGTTAAAAATGTGAACACATCATCTAAGCTACCAATAAATTATATGTATGCTCAGTGATGCTGCTCTAACCAGTTATGCAACTCTAATGTTTTAAAGAACACTCTGAGGAAATAAAAATTTTGCATGTTAAAATGAATAGTTTCTAAATAGTATTTTTTTTGGCTTTCTGGATCATGGTGGTGCTCAGGGGTTACTTCTGCTCGTACTCAGGAATTACTCATGGCAGTGGTCTGTGGACTATACGGGATACCGGGAATAGAACCAGGGTTCGTCACATGCAAGGCAAATGCCCTACCCACTGTACTGTCATTCCGGCCCCTAAATAGTACTTTTTAAGAAAAGCTTCCAGAGTTGAACAAATAAAAACATGGATTTTCTTTGATTTGCATACAACTCTGTTAAATCTTTCTAGCTTGTTATATATAGAAATCTTGTTACACTCCTGCATCAATAAAACACATTTTAAAATTCATTTTTCTGTCATTATATTTCTTTATATCCCATATATGAGAGAGATCATTCTGTGCCACTTTCTCCCTCTGTCTGACTTCACTCACTGAGATACTGACCTGTTGAAAATTCAGATGTTCGGATTTTGTGACTGAAATCTCCAGGCTTTCTCGGATTTAGGATGGGCTATCTCCTTCCATCTCCCTGTACTTCTGGAAGCCTCAGCAGTCATGTCCACAAACCAAAGCTGCCACCCAGTTTATAAAACTACTCCAGCCTTACCTTCCTGATAAAAATACTGACTGCCCTAAACAAACATGATGACTCTTAGTACCTGAATTATAAACCATAATGCGTTGTTAAGAGGAAAGTGTAGCTGAGCCAGAGGTGGTTTGTGGGTGTGGGTCCCACAGTCTTAACTTTTGGCCATTTAATTTCTCAGAAAACTTGGTTCCACATTGTTGGGGTTCGACCAGAGACACAGACACAGTTTTGGGGTATCAGGTGGCCTGAAGGCACCATCAGGCTGCTGATGCTCTCACCCTGCAGATACAGATTGACCTGTGGGCACCACATTTCTTCATTTTCCAGTTTCTTAAGTGATACAGTCAGGTTATGTTTGTGGACCTTTCCTTTCTGAGGAATGCTTGCATGACTATGAACTTCCCTCTTAGCACTACTTTTTCTATGTCCCACAAATGCTGGTAGGTAGTATTGTCATTCTCATTTGTTTACAGTACTCTTAATTTCTTCTTTGTTTCCTCTCTCGCCCATTCATTGTTCAGTAATAAGCTATTTAATTTTCAGGTGTTTGAATTGTTTCTCTGTTTCTGTTTGTGATTAGCTTCTTTTCATTACATCCTGGTTTGAAAAGATGGTATGATTTCTATCCTCTTGAGTTTTTGTGTGTTTTATCTTGGAGAGTTGTTGGGGAACACTGGATATGTTGCTCACTGATTTCGGGCAGATGTGGGGTGAAGGTTGATGGGTGTGCAGAGAAACATCCTCCGCGAGCAGCTGATGACTGTTCATTTATTGCCAAATACACACATTTTATAGAGGGTCTCAGCTTACAAGAAAGTCCAGTCATGCTAAATTCAGCATTATTGGCCTATTACCTCTCTAGCTCTGCTTTGCCCCTGTCCAGTCCCAATCCAGGCTACATGCTGCAGTTAGGATGACTTGCTAAGCATACGTAACAGTTCTGTGTCTAGGATTCATGTTACTAGGGGTTAAGTGGGTCTCAAGGCTGAACACATGGTGCTGATTGAAACCTTGTTCTTGCCAACTTTGCCCAGATACTCCCTCTTGCAAGGCTTCACTTATGGGCTGCTTTGCAAGGTCGGGTCTTACTTGCTCCAGTGCCTGTCATCATGGTCCACAGAGGGTGACCCATGTGTATTGGACAAGAAAGTCACACAGTTTTTTGAATATGAAGAGTCCTATTCTAAACTATTTTCTTCCATATCTTCCTTCAAAACAAGTATTTCCTTACTGAGCCTTGATCTGGTTTGTCTGTTGAGAGGTGACAGGGCAGTGTTGAAGTCTACAACTGCTATTGTGTTGCTATCTGTATCTTTCTTCAAGTCTATTAGAATTTAAGTATTTGCTGGTTCCTTATTAGGTGCATATATATTTTGGAGTTTGAATTGTTCTTGATATACATATCATGTGATCATTCAAAAATGACTTTTTCTTGTATAACCTTTTTAATTCTGATGTCTATGTCATCTGATACTAGTATAGCCCTCTGGTCATTTTGATTTTGAGGGAGCTGTTTGCTTGAAGAATTATCTTTCAACGTTTGATTTTGATTCTGTGTTTGCTTTGACTATTCAGATGCATTTCTTGCAGGTAGCAGAATGTTAATTTTAGTTTCTTAATTTATGCTGCCACTCTATGCCTTTTAATTCATGCAGTAAACTCATTGACAGAGAGATTGCTATTAGGGAGTGTTTTGCTATCTTTCTTCAGAAGTTTGGTGTGTTTGTGGGATTTGGTTAGTAGCCCCTTTGCAATGATGTCTTTGACTGTTGCTTCTTCATCAGGGTTGCCTTCTGCCCTTCTGGAATCTGATGATTCTTATGTTGTTCCTCTTGAATTCATCCTCAGCTTTTTTGTCAGCTTTTATTTTATTTTGAGGCTTTTTTTCATCATGTGCAGTTACCTGGAGATTTTCTCATTTTGGAGCCCACTGATTCTGTCTCAGCAGCTGTTACTCTGCTGGTGAGGGCTTCCAGTGAGTTTTTCATTTTGCCTACCAGATATTTTCAGTTCCATCATTGCTGTTGCAGTTTTCTGATTTCTGCTCTTATATCCTGTTTACTTGTATTGGTGGTCCATTCCATTGTTTCTTTGAGCTCCTTAACATCTCCTTTCTAAAGTCCCTATCAGAAAGGTTATATATCTTGTTATTCTTGGTTGAGTTCATCAGGGCTACCATCTTATGTCACTCAGTGTGATTGGGTTCTGTATTGTTTTCCCATTGTGACTTTTGCAGCTGGAGGTATTTCTCATGTGTTGTTGTGTGACTAGGTGATCGGAGTTAGGATGTATTTGTATGTTCATGGTGAACTACGAAGAGATAAAGAAATGAATCACCGCCATGTAGGGCTTCATTCTTCATGGGATCTCCTAACCTGGGGCAAAAATGTTAATTTTCAGGGACAAACAGTGTCCTGATGCTGTGTTGCTTCCTTTTATTGGGGTTGGGGTTGGAAAGAGCCAAGCTGGTGTGGTCAGCAACCTCCTGTTTCACCCTAAGCTTATTTTCATTCTTTTAATAGTGTCTTTCAAAGAGCTGAATTTCATTTTGATTAAGTGATTTTTGTTGATGTTTTTCTTTTATGAATTGTACTCTTGGTATCATATCTGTGAACTCTACCATACTTAAAGTCATAAGTATTTTGTTCAGTTTCTTCTATGAAATTTTAGTTACATATGTGGTAATTAAAATGTAGCTTTGTTTTCAATATATCAAAGTATATATCTTAATAATATTTTTATTAAATAATAGGCTTATTAAAATAGGTCTTACATAATGTCTTTGAGTGAATTTGCTCAGTATAGCTGAGAACCTGTATATTACATTGTTATCAGATGTTTTAAACTTGATCAGTCCTAAGGGACAGAGTAATCGTACACTCAGGTTTGATCTCCAGCATTTCATATGGTTCCCCAAGCACCACCAATAGTAATTCCTGAGTGCAGTTAGAAGTAACCCCTGAGCATTTCCAAATGTGGTCCAAAAACTAAAAAACAAAACAAAAACTTGATCCTCAGTTTGTATTAGTTTGCTGCTGATTATTAAAACACCAATAATACATTCACATGTGGCTATTTAAGTTATAAAATGTACCTTTAAACAGTCATTTGTTGCTGTGTGCTTTTTATTTTTCTATAATGATTTCAGAGACTTGCCAGTTGATTATATTTAAGCTTCAGTATTCGGATTTTTTTTATACAACACTAAAGATATTTTAGGTTTTTATACTGTTATATATAAGATTAGGTATTATGGTATATCTTGAATGTTTTTGTAATACTCTTTGTTTTATTTACTTTTTATTTTAATCACTGTGAGATAAAATTACAGACTTTAAAACTTTCATGATTCCTTTTCAATCAAACAATGTTCAAGTACTCATCCCTCCACCAGTGCCCATTCTCCACCCTCCACCCTCAATGTTCCCAATATCCCTTACCCCTTTCCCACTCCTTCCCACCCCCTGCCTCTGTGGCAGGCACATTCCCTCTTACTCTCTCTGTCCTTTTGG